TGGTTGTTGAGCTATCCTCTTGCTTTGGTGAACGTTTGTATTCTAACAATTTGACTCCTTTTTGTAGTTAAGGAGTCATCTGTAAACAACAGTTTTGGCTTTTCCCAGGAATCAAGTACAACAGTGAATAGTCATTTCAAGGGTACCTCTCAGAAGTTATTTCAATTCCATCTGATGTTTATTCAAGAGAGTTCCTGCAGTTTTCTGCTTGGTATCTGTGTGCGGGTGCGTTTAAATAAAGGGGAATTCGTTCTAGTTCGTTTTACTATTTTGCAAGTACAAATGACTGAATTTTACCAAATATTTTCAGTGTCAATCTTAGATGATCTTATAGCTTTTCTCCTTTATCTTATAATAGTAGGTTTTCGGTCCTGGCATGTATTTTAGTGCTCTGCTGGATGCAATTTGCTGAGTATTTATTTTAGGATTTTTGGATTCACGTTCAAGTTTTCTTTCGCTTTTCTTGTCTAGTTTTGATATGAGATTGTGCTGGGTCCCACACTGAGTCAGACAGATTAACTTCCTTGTATATGGCCTTAAATAGATATAGCATGTGAATGATCCATTCTTTACGTTTTAAGGAGCTGATCTTTAAAGGGAGATGGATTCTTTAAGCTTTCATGGTTATTAAGATAAGGCATTTGTTTCTTTTGCTTCTTTAGGTGGTTTTTTTTCCTACAAAAATATCCATTTTTATCTGCACTTTCAAATTTATTGCTGTAAATTTGTCCACAGTATTAACTTTAAAAAAATCTCATATTCATGTTTATTTTTACATATTCTGTTGGAATTTTTCTCAATTAGATTTATTGAATCAGCTTTTGGTTTTATTGAAAAGGTCTGTCCTAAAAGCTTTTTTATTTTTGCGGTACTGGGGCTTGAACTCAGGGCCTACACCTTGAGCCATTCCACCAGCCCCCTTTTTGTTTGTGGTGGGTTTTTTTTGAGATAGGGTCTCACGATCTATTTCCCTGGGCTGTCTTTAAACTGCGATCCTCATGATTGATCTCTGCCTCCTGAATAGCTAGGATACCAGGCGTGAGTCACTGGTGCCTGGCAAATTTAATTTAATTTTTTTTTAAATAAAACTTTATTTTACTTTAATTTTATTTTAATGCCTTCATTAGTTATTATTTCTTGGGGTTTTATTTTTTTCATAGAATCTTGAAGGCATAACTTTCTTTAAAATATTACAAACATGTATAAAATTGCAGAGAAAAACCACGCTTAACACTTCTGTATCAGTCACCTAACTTTTTATCATATTTTAATATTTTCCTACATTTGCTTCAGATTTTACTATTCCATAATTAATTAAAGCTCCTCTGTGAACCTTGTGCAATCAAATTCTCCGGGATCTCTTCCTCCCCAAAGTTATTTACTCCTTTGAATTTGGTATCTTGTCATTCCAGTGAGGGCAAATGTGGACATAACAGTACCCAAACACACTAGAAAATCTAATGAAAATCGATTGTCATCACTAATTGATATAACTGCAACTTACAAACACTGATGGTCACTACTGGGTATGCTTCTTCAGTTTGTTCACCCTCAAGTTGAAGTTTCCCAGGACTGTGCCGGCTTGGTGGGGCCCTGGCAAACAGGCCTGTGCTACAAAGGGAGTTAAGAAAGCAAGTTTTCTCACAGGAAATGTCTCAGACATAAGGGTGTTCATAGTGCTGGGCTTTGAGAAAACACACCATATGAATACTAGATGTGGTGTTAAGCATAAAGCATAAAGGCCTTTCCTGACAGCCCTGAGTTCCCCATTTCCAGCCCCAATATTGTTTCACTGTACTCTCATCTTCTTTAAGACACTTTTCACAACTTATATTGTTACATCCTTATTTGCTCAAATGCCTTATAAACTCTGGAGCCAGAGTCTAGTTTACAAATAGATTTAAATATGTATATTTCAAACAGCCAAAAATAATTTAATCTTTAGCACAGGCCACTTAGAAGAAAAAAGCATCAAAGAGGCTCCAAGTCACAATCCTCAGCAGCTCTCATATTTTCAAATTCCTTTTTTTTCTTTAATTTTCCTTAATTCTTAAATGAATCTGTTTAGCTTTTCTCCAAAACCTTGCCCCTAGGGCTCCTCCTTCAAATGTTTTTTGTGTATTCTCTTATTTTACCTTATAAACATCAGAACTGGTCTGAGAGATATTTTCTCAGGGAATAGGGGAGAGAGGTTAAGAAGCAAAGTCTATCAAACAAGAGGCTGGGAACATTTACATGCTGATCATTTTTCTTTTTCAAGGTTTTTTTTTGATCATTTTTCTTTATATGGTTGAGCTACAGATTTGAGGACAGGACTAATATCAACTCTATTTGCAATTAATATTGAATCTGGCAAATGTTAATTAACATTTGTTTTCTGGAGGAAAAAAGTCCAGCAATTGAGGCATGTACAGGGAATTATGGAACACAGAGCAAGAGCTCTTGGCTTAGTGAAGTGTGGAAGTAGAGTGTGCAGAGTAAGGGCTAGTTTGGAAAGGCATTCCAGAGGAGGTGAGGCCCAGGCACAATTTTGGAGGGCAAGAATTCACCAAGCAAAGCAGGAGGTGATGGTAGAGAAGAGTATTCCAGGTAGTAATGCAGCACAAGATCAGATAAATGTCACAGCTTGGTATAGTGTTGCTAGATGCAAAATAGGAGAAATGTCTAAGTAAGGCTGGGTATGAAGAGCTTTGTCTTCATGCTATAGAGGCTGGGCTTTATCCTGAGTGGTACAGCCACCGAGTGGGTGGGGTGGGGAGACTTACTCAGATTTGCATTTTAGACAGGTCACCAGGTAACAGGATAAGGATTTGAAAGAGGCAAAACTAAAAATAGGGAGAACAACTCTGACTTAAAAAAACAATTTAGGCCTAAAATAGGGTAGCAGTATTCAGTAGAGTTAAACAGAATCATTTAAAGAAATTATTTGGAGGTCAAATTGTCAGTCAAACCAGTAAGGTATTTTTGGAGGTCAAATTGGATGATTGGATGGGGAAGGTGAGAGAGGAATCTAAACTAGCGTACAAACTCTGGCTTGGATGTTGTCATTAACTGATGTAGGAGACAGGAGGAATAATGGGTTGACAGTGGTGGGTAGAGGGAAGATTCCCAGTTCAACTAGTGGGACTCCTAAGTTTAAATAACTTCTACTCGTTCTACTCGTGAGCGAAAAAATAGTTTACATGGATCCACTTTTTAAAACAAAAATCATAACTCTTACTCTGTGAAAAAGGAGGGCTTTTTAACTCCTTTTTCTGTGATCACTTAATTACTACTTTAGTGATAAAGGGACTCTGAACTTCTAGGCAAACCCACACCATGACATACTTTATATGCACAGCAGTTGGTTAAAATACAAAGGCAATATTTTGACATTCAGTTTTCACACCATCTACTTAAAAATAATTCACAACAATTTGATCTACTTTACAGGACACAGAGTGACCTTGAACATGATTACAAACTGCAAACAAACATGCAAAACCTGGGTCTGGCCTTGTGGGCTAAAGAAATATGCTCTGAGTTTGAGGTGATGTGTGGATCATCTACTGTACCAGAATTCACCACCTATTGTACAGTGTACTTATATTCATATTTATATTCTTCACCTGTTTCTTTGACTCTAATTCTTTGGGGTGGTTGCTATGGTATATGTAAGTCTAACATCTTGAAAATTCCACTGAAGAGATTAAGAAGGTTGTTGTCATTCTCAGAAGCCAGTCATATAAATTACGTTTCTGCGATAGGGTTAACTGTTCAGAACTTGTAAGATTCATGGTTATGACATAAGTGAGCTGCTCTACAGTGGGCCTTTGACCATAGCACATGTCCTTGGATGCACAGGAGAGCAAGCCTACATGTGACCAGTGGTGAATGGCATAACAGTGCCTTTCCAGTGAGGGAAACTTGGTGTTTGTTAAGCTCAGACTTATCAAGAGTCATAAGGACTCATCTCAGTTTGTACATACACACTGAGACCAGATAAATGCATAAGAGTGTAATAATTTCTGTTCTTCACAATCTACTCAGGACTCCAACAAGACACTTCACAGGTTTATATAAATGCCGATTTTCATGCCAATTTATAAATTTCAGAGGTGTCCAAGAAGAACAAGAGGTAGCTTGTAGTAGGCAGTTTTGGATAGGAAGTACTGCCACCCATACAAAATTGTAATATTTTTTCCCCATAGTTTTAAATTCCCTTTATCCATTTATGGCATTTTCTGTATCATGTAATAAATTCTGCTATCCTCACAATAATTCACTATTATTGCCAAAATACTTTCAAACCATTTTTATACATACATATATGTATTATATTATATTGTCCATATTTGACCTGTGAAAGTAGTTTTTTACATGATTGAACTTAATATAATCTGAACTTTAGCTGGCACCACATTTCCTTAAATATATTCTATCTAGAACATTCTGCTTTGCGTCAGTAGGGAGAATGAAATTTTAACCCCATTTGCCAGTTCTTGTTAGCCTTACAAAATTGTGCTTGTAGACTGCTGATAAATTTCATGAAAATACTCAAAGGTGTAGTAATTTCCAAAACTTTAGTACTTAACCAAAAAAGATCTGGTCCAAACAGGACATACTGTTTTGTACCTACATCAGTCACTACTTAACTGGAACACCCTACCTGTGAAAACATGGCCTGTTCAGGCTTAGGGTCAGGTATAGAATCAACAGGCCAAACTAAATACAAAAGCATTTTCAGCGGAGAATTCCGCTACCTCAGTGTCCTCAATAACATTCAGTACAACAGAGAGCCTGAGACATGTCATTAAGTACTAGTAAAAGAGATAACCCCAGGCCTTATGTTTAAGAAACTTACCACCATCCATGAGACATAAAAATATAAATAAGAGGATATCCTAAGAGTTTTAAGTTTCAAACTGGGCAGAGTAAATGTAAAGAGAAGAAAGCACTTCAGAAGTTTTAAACTAACTTCAAACATTAGTGACAAAAAGACAAATACAAATGTGCATTGAGTCTAAATGCAGGTCATCATGATCCTCAAATGTGTCTTCCTCCATGCTTCTGGACCCAAGAACTTTTCTTCCCACCCCACAAGTTGTGACTAGAGATCCTCCAGGTCAGTTAAATCCACAGCCACTTTCAAGAACAGGGTGTCATCTTTAATGTAGGTGTTCTTGGCATTCTCCAAAGTGGAATGAGCCACAAAGCGAGGACACCCAGATGCAATGTTCATCTCTCCGTCAGGTCTTTTAAAGCTGCTGCTGTTGGGGTCAGCTTTGAAGGTCTCCATAATGTGGTTCTTTTTGCCACTCTGGTCCAAAAGCATCAGGGTTACCCTCTGCCTGAATGGCCACTGTAACAGTGAGTCAAACTCTCCTCGCATCACCACAAAGTAGAGGGACAGATGCGTCCCCTTCCCGGACCCGTCCCCATTTAGGTATGCTCTAGCACAGAGCCGGTAACCACAGCGGCTGGTATAGAAGGGCTGGCTGAAGATGGACACTGTGTGCCCGTCCACTGCCTCTCTCTTCTTCATCTTGTAATCTGTCACCTTCCAAATGAGCTTCCCATTGTAGCAGGCACCCTCCAGCAATTTAAATCGCTCTTCATTTTTATTCAGCTGTGCTTTGTGGATATTAATGTGTGCATCATGCTTGCTAGTCTCCCCTTCTAAAACGACTGCAAAGGAAGAAACAAGACAGGAGCCAAAAACATGGGCATGTAAGGGGTCTTTAAATTTTGCCCAAAATGGAATTTTGTTACCTGAAGAGAACCAATAAATTCTGCTGTGCTAAAGATGAAATGAATTCAGTGTGTCCACAAATGGACCACTTTTATTTATTAATGCTCAGTGAATAACATGTCTTGGTAAATTAGCACCAAGAAAATAGGAATGTGTAGTCTTAAGCCAAAGCTTGCCACAGTGTAAAGAAAACACACTGAGCATTTGCCTAGCATGAATTAGCATGGTAAACCCCACACTTTTCTAACTGCATGGCTTTTTAAATATCACACACTTTTATTTTTCCACACTTGAAACAATCAGCCCATCACATCTCTTCCTTAGCTTCTTGTCATTTTCTATTCTGTTAAAAATCAACACTCCTTGTTCTTGGAATTTCCTGGCCTCTTTCTAACTCTTGTCTGTTTCCACCCCCATCAGGGCCTCCCTCCCTTTTGCCTGAGCAGCCAGAATGTCCTTCTGCTGCTCTTTAACAAATAACCAGATTCAGCCATTGCTTATTCTGGAAACGTGACTATTTGGCAAGGTGTTTGCTCATTTCATGAACACATGTGGACAAACTAGTCAAACTAGTCACCAAAAGAGAAGTAAAATAGAAAACATACCTAGTCTTTGATCATTGGTTTCTAACAGGGTAATTTTCTGTTTCACTGTATCAATCGCTTCCACCAAAGACCTCAGGTCAAATTTATTTTGTTGCTGGTTAACCATTTGTAGTAACTGACGTACTTGGGCTTCTAGCCAAGCAGACTTGTCAATGTGACTGGTGAGAACCTTTCAGGACAAAATGGATCATGATGTTAAAAAAAAGTATCTTATTTATTGAGATTACATTTTTTGGTTCTTTTGGCAGCACCAGGGTTTGAGCTCAGGGCTTCACACTTGCTAGGCAGGCACTATAGCGCTTGAGCCACACCTTCAACTAATTTAAATTATTTCAACTCACACATTTCACATTTAACTAAGTAATGAAATGAAAAATACACAGTCCAGAAGAGAAAATAAGGATTGCAGAGATGAGCCCCTAATTATCTTTTTTCCTTCTCCCTTCTCCCAACTCCCATCCCAAACCTTTGAACTTTAATGGATCTAACTCCTCCCTCAATTTCTCTGTGCTTTGCTCTCTAATGCACCTTTATTTGTTCTCTGGTTGTCCTTTCTCTTGCCTTACCACTTCCTTCTCTTCAAAGCTACTCCCTCAATTCACTCTTGCTGTAGTACAAGACCCACAGTGAGATGGAGCATGCTCACCTGTTCTGGCCCAAGCACTACAGGTGGAACACAAAGTTTTAGGTAGGGCCTAAATGTTCAATTGCTCTCTTAGGTGGAAGATTAAATAAAACTACTTTATCTTACGCTACGTGTCTTAATTCTAAATGATTGGTCTTTCTATTAGGAAAAGGTCAGAATTGAGATAGTAACATATGATGGATTTCTTTTTTCTATATTCACATATATTTTTATATATACATGCACATACATCTGTATATGCATGTAAAATATGTGTGTATACCTATCTATCTATCTTGTAATGTGCTAACCAAATATGGAAGTTAAATGCCTAGATTTTTCTGGGATAATCCAAATTTCAAGTATATTATCCACACTACATGTCTTAAAATCTTTTACCATAAATTTCATAATCATGATAAACATTAGGAATCCATTTGTGATTATTCAACTTTCAGAATTTACAAAGTAACTTTTTTTCACTATATTTTAATGATACTTAAAGCATTCTCTTCCCAGGGAAATTAATGGTTTCACTTTGTGGCCTACAAAATGTAGAATTACAGGTGCTCTTGATGTATCTAAAGCAGTAATATTAACCCAACATTAATTAAAACCCTAATTGCAATAAAATTATGAAAGTATTGTATAAATGTTAAATTTACTGACATTGCTAAATTTACTGGGTATTTATGAGATTATTTCTATTTTAGGAAATACATACTGAAGTATGAGAAGTAAAGAGCCATAATACATGCAGTGTATTCAAAATGATTCAGAATTCTTTCTCTCTCTCTCTCTCTCTCTCTGTCTCTTTCTATCTCCCTCCTCTCTCCTCTTTCAGGTGTGGGAAGAGGGGTGCTAGTGGCAAATGGGACACAATGTTGACAATGGGGTAATCTGGGAGGTGGTGCTCTTTGCATCTTATTCTTGCAGTTTTTCTACAGATATATTTGAAATAGTTCCATTTGAAAAGTTAAAAGAAAAACTCTTAATTAAAAGCCAAATTTTGGCTTTGAATGGAAAGGCCATGTCTCACCTGAATGTTTGAGAGGAAGCTTCCATTTTTGCCAAACAATTGTGCAAACTGCTTGAATTCCTTTTCGAATTTCTTTACAGTTTCTGCTAGCTGCTGGATCTTACTTTCTTTTTGTTCTAGGCTCTTATATAAGTCAGAAATCTAATAACAGGAATGTGAATGAGGAAAAATGAGGTCATTGAGATGCATGCATAAAATTTAAAATAGTATTTTCCCTTTAGAATGTGCTTCTAGGAACAAACCATACAGTTGTATTTCTAGGAAAATATTTGCAGGAAGTTTCAAAAAGCAGATCCACAAAATTTCTCATCAGCCTGTTTCATCCCTAACCCTCTGTGATGGATTATCTAATGATAGTAATATCACTCGACTAAATTTACTGAACTAGCTCATTCTGTCCATTCAGTATGTGCTTATTAAGCAGAGTACTGATCACCAAACTACATTAGATGTTATATGCACAGTAATCAGAATTTGCTGATTTTTATGATACTCTTATATCATAAAATCTTCAAAGGACCCTCTGAGTTAGGTATGAAGATTAATTCCATTTTTCAGATGAGGAAACAGAGGTAGACAGTGTAAGTAACCTGCCCATCACACAAGCTAACAAATGGTAGGCAAAACACGAGTGGTGTGTATACTTAAAATTTGTAATTCATTGAGGGAAACAGCCAGAAACCTACGAATGACCCTAGACAACTCTTCTATCCCCACATCCATTAACTTGCCACCTTTAGCTCATATCAATACAAATAAAAAAACTCTTATATTCGTTTTTCACTTCATCTCCTCTTGTTTTAGCACTAGTTTCAGTCTTCATTATTTCTCACCTGTGCTGTAACAAACAGCTTCCTATCTGGCCCTGCACTGTACTTTCTATCTTGACACACAGAAGAATGTATCTTTCATAAGAGCTGGAACCAGCCTGGATATCATAGCAACTAGATAGGTGCCCGACACCAGTAGGTGCTTGATAAATATTTATTCAATGAATGAATGCATGGATGCTTTTAGTCTTACTCCCCTCCAATTCATCTTCCATACTGTAACCTGAATAATATTAAGAGACAGGCCTGGTCTTGTGCCTTCTGTACTTAAACATCTCTAGTGACTTTCTTTTATAGGCCACACATGATCTGCCTCTGGCTACCCTTTGGGCCTCATGCTCATTCATACCCTGTGTACCATGCCCAGAGAGACTACACAACTCCTAGCTCCCATCAGGCCCTGTTCCCTTAGACACTTCCCTCTTCATCTAGAAACTACTGTTTTTTTAAGATGCCACTCAAGGGCACATCCTCTTGGAACTATTTCCTTCCTAGTACCATGCACTCAGACTACCTCTCCAGTTCCATAATACACTGTCCATAATATCTTTTTCATTCTTGTAACTTGTTTTTGTCATTGTTTTGGCCCTTTCCCTCAGCTACATTGCTTCTCAAGGCTATTTCTCAGATATTTCTTTATCCCCAGGACCTGGCATGGTGCCTGGCACAGAGAGGGCATTGGATATTTATTTGACAAATGAATGCACAAATGACTGTAATGACTATCTGACTTCTGGCCCAGAATCTTCCATGCAGTCTCTTAGAGCAGTCGTCCACCTGCCCACCAAACAAAAGCAAGCTTTGTGCCTTTCCTTCCCCCCTCCTCTAACTTACTCTTGCTCTTGGGGTGTCCATTTCAGTAGCATTTCTAGGTTCTCTGCCTCCCCAGCGTACAACATGCAATTAACTGACATGGCTTTGGTTGACCCTTCATTGTCACCATCACTACCTCTAGCATTTGCTTCCACTTACTATTGAAATGCTTATTATATGTGCCAGGTACTATGTTAGGAGCTTAAATAAATTATCTCATCTTCCCCTCACCACAACCCATTTACAAATGAGGAAACTCCTTAGGGAAGAGAGAACTGAAATAGCTGCGCAAACTCCTAGGGCTGGTTTGGAACCAGGCTTACACCCAGGTCTCTTGGCTCCAGAACACTCCCTCTTCCCAATTGCTGTTCTATTTCCAGATGTCTTACTTTTGAAGACCAAATAATTGGCTGGCCAAGTATTTTCTTATTTAAAAATCTCCATTAGCTCCAAAATACTGACAAACATGACCTCCAACTTTTGACCCTTAAATCCTTTCTGAAACAAGACAGAGTATATATGGAAAAAACAATGTTGAATGTAGTGTTCAATTTTCAGTTTACATGGTAGGCCATTGCTGTCTGGATTCAATACATCAGTCTTTAGCCATTCCCTGTCACACACTCTGAGAGTCTATGCACCTTAAAATCCCTTAAACCAGCAGCATCTCTTCTGCCAACCTATCTTGGCACAAGCTCTCCCCTTCTGGCTGTACTCCTTCCACAGCACTTTAACTGACAGATCTTGTCTTCCTTCAAGATACAGCTTGGAGATCCCATTGAAAAGCCTTTCACAGTGTCCTCAGGGTATTCTGCTACAGCCCCTGTACCAGAATTACTGCATGTCCCACAAGATACCAGCAACTCATCTCTTTACATTTTTGTAAGTTCTAAGGTAGATGTTGCGTCTTCCTTGACTCAGTGTCCCGAGCAATGACTGCTCTACCCAGACTTGGTGTCTGCTGAGTGAACAGATGGATGAATGAGACAACTGATACAGAAGGAACTTACAAACAGTTACTAGGTAGCGTGTCTTCTACTATGGTTACTATCAAATTGATCTAATTTTCTCTGGCTCTGACCCTGGAACTCACATACTCACTATAATATGGAATCGGACATCATAAAATAATCTGTGGTAGTAAAATGAAACTCCTCTGAAGATGGATAAGTTTGTTTCCCTATGTGGGTTTGAAAAGTCTGATCTTCAGCTGTTCTAACAAAATCATTGACTTTCATAATGATCGCTCATTAGAATCAGCATTCATTGATATCTACTATGATTGCACTAGGCACTATAAAACTTCACTTGAAATCACAACTCAGTGAAATAAATATGTAGGTATGAAATAAGTATGTGTTTCAAAGCTTCTCAAAGGCAGTTTAGACTTAAAACAAAATTTATAAAAGCCTGTAGTGCGTAGAACAGATAGTCAACTGCTGTTTTACGGTCATACTGATTTAAAAACATCAAACACCTACTAGGCACCCAATAGTAACCGAAGGGCAGGTGGACAGGATGAGGAGCACTGGCTGCAGAACCAGCGGAAATGGACTTTGCATTGAATTCTGCCACTCACAAGTTATAAACACACTAGCATTATCTGAGCTTAGTTTCTTCATCTGTTGAATGAGAGGCTGGACCCAAATATTTCAAAAACACCTTTTAATCCTAATGTTCTATTATTCAATGAATCTGTGTGGCCACTTAGAAAACATGCACCTCCAGTTAACTTCCAGTGAAACAGAGGAGAATATAAAAATATCCACATATCAGGCAAATCCCAGCAACTCCATTGCCCCCCTTTGTCTGTAAACCCTTGAATACTAACCTGTTCTTCTAATTGGAAGGTCTTTTCTAAAACCAGAAGCATGTGGTCCCGCAATGCTGAATGCTCATGTTCCTGCAGGTTCCCCCGCTTACCCTTCAGTATGAAGAAAAAGAAGTCCAGTCATGGAGAGGCTCCAAAACTGAGGGAGGGAGAGGGAGTTCTGCAACTTTGCTTACTTTGATAGTTTAAACATACACCCATTTTTAGGTGGGCTGCAGGAAAAATGACTCCACTAGGTCTCTTTCTCAGCTTTAAGATTTTATAGTACCTATGAGGCAACCCTAAACTTGGAAATCTTCAGCAATGATTTTCTTCCTTGCCCTGGGAGTACATGACTTTGAGTTAAGTGTAGTCACTTGCCACTGCTCAGCCATTCCCACATACAACTTATCGCCTTGGTGGGTTATCTGATTTTAAGCCTGGATCAGTTTTCGCCCCCATCAAGTGTGTTTCTTTGCTGCTTCTCATAACTGCCCTGCTGCCAGGGGCAGAAAGCATGCAAACTGATTTTAATTTCAGCCCTTGTAAGTTTGTTGCCCTAAAAATCATAGACTATGTTTTCAAGAAGAAATGGTTACATCTCCCCTAATTATTAAAATATTTAGTTGCAAACTGCCTCTATTACTAGTAAAAGCAAAGGTGATCCATTTATTCTAAGCAAATATTTATTACCAATTTCCCTTCAGTTTAGGGTTGGCCCTTTGGTGACAGTATGTCTGAAATAAGGTTCCTGAGAGTAACTCTCCCAGCCATCCCCAGCTCTGGTACTGAGGTAAGTTCTAGAATACAATCCAGTGGAAGTTTGGGCCTGACTATAAAGATCCTTTTAAGGGTGGAAATCAATAGTGCAATTCATCACTAAAGTTAAACTGTCCTTTCTGCAGCTAAGACAATCACAAGTTTATGCACTCTTCACTATTTTTTTTAAAGGCTTCTAATTTTTTTTTTTTTGGCAGGGGGATGCTGGGGATTGACCAGAATGCTAAGCGCATGCTCCATGACTAAGCTATCTACTCAATCATTCAAATAGTTTTTGAATAAAATATGTGCTTCTGTCAAACAATACAGGAAGATGTAAATGAAAGGTAAAAGGTCCCTTCTCTCCATCTCCACACCCAGTTCTCCAGTCTTCTCACTCACCAGAATCAGCAAAAACACACACATTTTAACATGAATGAAAACATGCTATTATTTAATTTTTTAAACATGTACTTCATTCTGTTTATCAAACGTATGGCATTCCAAAATACACATACATAATTATATAGTTGATTCTCTATTAATGGGCTTAACAGATTGTTTCTAGTTTTCACATTTTTTTTCTGTACAAACAATACTTTGTGTGTGTGTTTGTATATTGTGTGATGCCTGCATACTGATGCAAGGATGTCTGTGACATAAATTCCTAACAGAATGCAAAGTTAATGCATGAGTTCACTTTTTATTTTCCTAAGTATAGCCAAACTACCCTCAAAACAGTTGAATATTATAAGATGTTTTAATCTGTCAGTATGATGGTAAAAATGAGACTTTGATTACAATTTACATTTACTTAGGAATGAAACAGAACATTTTATATCTATCAGCCAATTAGATTGTTTTCTGTAATTGACCATATTATTTCTTTGCCTATTTTTCTGTTAAGTTGAACAATCCATTCACGTGTAAGAATTATTTATTGTAAGAAAAATAGTCTCTTTTATGGTTTGGTCATCTGTTACAAAAATTTCCCTCCAGTTTGTTGTTTGCCATTCAACTTTATGGTATTTTTTAAATCATAAGGAGTTTTAAATATTTGTGATCAATTAAACTTATCAAAATGATAGCTTCTGGCCTGTGTTAGTCACCTAAAAAAATGCTTCTTTGCTGGGTGTGGTGGCTCACACCTGTAATCCTAGATGTTTGGGAGGCAGATCTTGGGTCAAGGCTAGCCCAGGCAAATAGTTCATGAGACCCCAGATCCAAAATAACCAGAGCAAAATGGACCAGAGGTGTACCTCAAGTGGTAGAATAACTAGTTTGCAAGTGTGAAGCCTTGAGTTCAAACCCCAGGCCCACCAAAACAAAGAAATAAACCCTAAAAAAACACTTCTTTGTTTTAAAATAAAAAATTTGCTGTTTTTTTCTAGTATTTTTGTGATTTTTTTATTTTATCTTTTTAGTGGTACAGAGGATTGAATGCAGGGCCTTGTACTTGTTGCTCTATCCCAGTCTGTTTTGCTTTGCTTATTTTTCTTTTAGGGTCTTGTGCTAGCCTAGCCAGGCTAGCCTTGGAATGGGATTCTCCTACCTCTACCTCCCTAGTAGCTGGGATCATAAGTGTGCTCCACCATGCCTGGCTTGCTTTTGAGATACAACTGACTAACTTTAATCCTATCTTACCTCCTGAGTAGCTGGGATTATAGAATGTACCATCATGCCTGGCTCTGATTTTTAAAGTGAACTATTTTAGAGTAATTTAGACTTATAAAACATATGGAATGATAATACATAGCATGCTATATGTTAATTTCTAAAACTTTAATCTACCTGGGAATCTGTTTAAAAGCCTGAAGGGAGGATCAAACTTTTATTTTATACAATTTATTAAAAGTATTTTAATTCTTAAATTAAAAGTATTTAAGAAGTAGTAAAATGTACTTTAAAACATGATTTCAAATCACTTTGTTTCAGCAATGCCTTTTTTTTCCCCCCAGTGCTAGAGCTCCAACCCAGAGCCTCACACCTGCTGGGCTCTGTCACTCAGTTATATCCACAGTCTCAAATCACTTAGTTTCAAAATACTTGGTGATATACAGAGGTACCATAAATCAAGATTTGTAATCATGGGAGGAGTGACTCTGGAAGTTTCCAAAACCTGGTAGAAGCAATAGAGCCAAAATTAGAAATAATTACTGATGGTTATTTTTATGTATCAACCTGGCTAGGCTATGATGCCTAGTTGTTTGGTCACAACTAATCTAGGTATTACAGTGAAGATATTTTATAGATGTGATTAAGACAATCAACTGACGTTAAGTAAAGATGACCCACTCTGTAATGTAGGTGGACCTTGCCAATTGGTGGAAGGCCTTAAGAGTAAAGACTAAAGTTTCCTGAAGAAGCACTTCTCCTCAAGACTGCAACATAGAAACTCCAATCTGAGTTTCCAGATTTCTGGTCTGCCCAGCAGATAATGGACTTGCTAACCCACATGCTGCATGGGTCAATTCCTTCAAAGAAATCTATGTTATATTGGTATATATGTATATATATATACACATATATGTCTATTTCTTTAGGTGTATATATATATATATATATATAATATATATTATATTCTTAAAGTTCTCAGAATTTCATGTCCTTCTGTATCCTGAAAGGAATCAACTCACCAAGCAGATTATACAATGAAATATAGAGGCAGAAATAAAAAGGCATCCCTACCTTCACAGTACAGCCATAGTGTTTGAAAGGACAGTCCTGTTCAGTCTCAGGACACACAGCAAGGTGTTCATTCACCTACAAAATAGACAGCTACAAGCTACAGTAATCCATCACTGATTCTCCAACTGCCTGGTATATATGCAGCAAGCAAGGAGCCAAGTGGGGCTTGGGAGGAGGTGAGCGACTGGGAGGAGAGAAACTGGTGAGGAAGAGTAGGAGGAACACTGAGAATAGTTTGCAGGGCAAAGGGGAGGGGAAACAGAACCAGTTATCATGGGGATAATTTAATCCTCAGGCCTTTGAGTATGGGATTTTATCAGCCGTACACCACAATGACTGCCTAAACTTTATCTTTACGTAGAATCTTCAATGAGGATTGTTTTTAGTACCTTAGTTCTTGGAATACTCTGCAAACACTTGTTGGGACAAGATACCGGGTACTCAGGACACAAGTTTTCCTTGTGGTTCTGAAACAGAGAAAGTGGGATGAGACATGCTGAGGCCTCTCTTTCTGGCCTCACAGTGATTGCACTTATGTCTCTTTGAGGATAGATGTCATGTGGCTTGACCTCCATAGGAAATTTAGCCTAGTTCTAAAAAAGATTAAAGATGTCTGCTTTCTTGGTATCAATGATAACTAAATTCAATTAAAAAATTCAATATTCTGATTATTCTGAAAGGTCAGAGGGCACAGGACTCAGGAAGGCAGCCTTGGGAATTACCAGTGTGGCTCCTTTGGCACAGGTAAAAGATATCCATGCTCTCTTTTTATGCCGACATTTTGCCTCTTCAGCTAGAGTACAGAATCCAGAGGATAGCCGTTATCGTCACCCCTCTGTCACCCAGGTCTTGTACCCACCCCTCTTTCCACACTCATACACAGTAGGTGCTCAAATGCTATTTCACTTGCCACTAACAAGTGAACAGAGTCCTGCCAATAAGAAGGCTTTAAACCCTTCTCAGAATTTCCCTCTGCTAAGCTTCTTTAGAGCTGATTCTATACATAAGTAAACACAGAATGTGTTTCAGATTCCCCACCTGATTCACTATGATCCTGAGGGAGAATTGAGTCCCATAAAGAGAGTTGGCTCATTTTACCTGCAGATTGATTACTGCCACATCCTTTTTGCAGTAAAGGCATCTTTCCTCTCGAAACTGACAGTATGCGCCCAAATGCTCCTTCAGGTCTTTTCGGAGCACTGCTTCCCAACAGTTCTCATTGGAACAGGGCACAGATTGAAATGAACACTGCTGGAGGTGGTCCTGCAATAGACAACAACAGGCTTATGGGGCCAGGGACAAGGTGGGGCTGGCTGGAAGTCCTAGCAGGGGCGAAAGAATAGAGGGCCAGCTGAGCAGAAAGGCTGGCACAGGACCAATGGGACTCAGCAGCCTCTCCCAAGCTATCATGTTGTCCCCCACTGCCTCTGCCACTTGGACTGGATGCTATGACAGCCAGCCTTGGTTGGTGGGAATTAGGAGGAGAGGTGAAGATGAGAAGGGGATATATGTCAAATTTGTTTTAGATGACCCAGTGACCTGCTCATATTCACAGGTCAGTTCTTGGATATTTCCCTCATGCTTGCCAATTAGTTCATCAGTTCTTTGAGAACATTTGTTTGTTTGTTTGTTTTTTGAGATAGGGTCTCACTATGTAGCCCAGGCTGATCTGGAACTATGTAGCCCAGGTTGGCCTTGAATTTGCTCCCTAGTGCTGAGCAGAAATAAATATATAAGCATAAGCCTTTTTATTTATTTACTTATTTTGTTGCAGCAGTATGGGGATTGAACTCAGAGTCTTGAGCTTACTAGGAAAGTGCTCAAACACTTGAGCCACGCTCCAGTGACAATTTTATTTCTTTTGTGCACTCTCCACCCCCACCCCCAGCGCTTTGTACTGGTCTCTGCAGAGCATATGGTAACAGATGAGACAGAGGAAAAAAAAATGAAGGAGAAAGGTATATCTTGATTGAATAAAGGAAGAAAAGAGGGAGAGCTGTTCCAAAAATGGTAAAGAAAAGGAGTCAGAGGAAACACAGGCTGACAGGTTCAAGTGAGAAGGGCCGGACTTGTAGAATCAGGAAATATTCTTAACCAGAATACTAGAGATCAGTACCACCAGTGTTCATTTTTAAAACAGGCATAATTCAACCAAAACCCCTGGATCATGGCAAGTTATTGAAATGCTGACAAGGTACCAGAAGCTTAGTGAACTTGTTTTGCTGCAAGATCCTTTCAGAGTTGGCATGCTAAGGCCCACAGGCCTAGTTTGGTCTGCTACTTGTCTTTGTAAATACCATTTTATTGGACGCCTGTTCATTCACATACTGTCTTTGGCTGCTTCCCTTAACATGGGAGGGCTGAGTAGTTGTGACAGAGACTGGATAGCCTGCACAGCCTAAACTATTTACCGTCTGGCTTTTGGCAGCAGCAGTTAGCTGCCTCTCTGAAGGAAGAGCGTGAACAGTTTCTGCAGCAGGATAAAGATTAGAGCTATTTTCCTTGGCCTGTGGTAGTAAAGAGCAAATAGTGATAACAGTCAAAATTGATATCCTCAAGATTTATAGATATTACTCTTCAACTCTCACTCAAACAGCCAATATTCATCAAAACTCCACTACTTGTAAGATCCTTCACATCATCGCAGAAGGGAGAGGGGGACAGGAATTAGGGGAAATAAAAAGGAAGTAGGCACCAAGAAACCAGACCCAGTTCTCCAGAAACCTGTGGTTTGTTTACTAAAATTACTTGGTAGATCATTTGAGCCCCATTTCCTTTTCATGCTTAGCGACAACAAAGTTGGAAGTGAGGCCTTGCTCTAAGACCTGCCACTCAAAGCAAATGGCAAAGGACAGTCACATGAAAAGAAAAAAGTTCTGTGAGCCTCCAAAGCAATCTAGGCTAACTAGGAAATTGTGCACTTTTATTACCTCAGTGCCTGGGGATCTGGAGGCGTGATAAAGGCTGAATCATCTGAAATATATGTTCCAAACTGTGTGGGTGTGAGGGAAATTTCCAGCAGTCTCTAAGCAGTCCCTGGAAGCTGGAGATGCCTGAGTCTTAGTCACTTGTAGTGTGATCAAGACTGATGGCGTCTGCCAAGCAGGGCTGCATTTGCAGCTGCCCATTAACAGCCTTCTCCAGCTGCATGAAAAAGCAGCTCAGATAGTTTCATTTAACAGGAATGCAGCTCTCCTTCACCTATGCTTACCCTACACCTGTTTCTTTGCACTTCATATCAATACTTCATCCCTAAACCACATCCTATCTCAGTCTGGTCTGTGTGATCTGCCTTGGATCACACACCCTGTAGGCCAACGCCTGCACATCACAGCACCAGAAGACAGAGCAAATGCTTTTGCTGAGGGATCCTTATAATTGTGTCTTTCTGTGGTCATGCCTACCTCCCATATTAAAGTCTCCAAATCCTTCACAGCCTCCCGAAATAACACACCCTTGCTTGAGAGTTTGTTTTGCCTCACAACCCTTTGGCTCAATGATCCCTAACTCACAGTTTAGGGTCTAGCATACACAGCATGTCCTCCCTGTGCTACATACAGAATGAACCTCTTCATTTATACCTTGGGGTGCTGCAGCACTGCCACTCACTGTACTGCTAGCCTGAGAGTCCTTTGAGGGCAACTCAGTGGATCCCTCCACCATGCTTATCCAGGAACTGACGTGTAAAGGGGTTTAGTGCATGTCACTGGAAGGATGACACAGGCAAATATTGGTCATGAGTAATACCAACCTGATATCGTCCCAGAATAATCTTGGCATTACATCCAGGAGCATTTTTGCAATATACGTATAAATTGAGGACTTCCCTTTTGCAGCAATTATCTTTAAATATCTAAAAGAAAAACATGATAGGTCTCACACACCAATGCTTTACAGCAATTCAAATGGAGCTATTATTAGTTTGGTCTTCAAGTATAACTCAAAAGTCAGGTGGAAACTTCCAGACAGTGGTTGGAATGGAAATATCACAGTCATCACCACATTAAAAGAAAAAGTTGTCTCAGACACATAGTTCTAACAAGCCAGTTAATTCAATGCTCAATGCAGCAAACTGCAGCTACAAGAATCTCATGGTGAACTTGACCTAACACAGTCAAAAGTCAGGTGGTAGGTGCTATGACCAATGCCCACACTTTCAGCTTCCCATCCCAGAATAAATCATCAGAGTGTCATTGAAGCTGTGCTGACTTGCTCTTTCAGTACAAACCAGAAGTTGGCAAACTTTCTCTGTAAAGACTCAGATAGTAAATACTTTCAGCTTTACAAGAAGCCACATCACAATCATATCTGCTGCTGCATTTGAACTCTGCTATTCACAATATTTACATGAACAAGCATGGCTGTGCTCTAATAAAACATTTATGCACAATAAAATATGAATTTTATTCAATTTCATTTGTCACAGAACATTGTTTGATTTTTAAAATAAATTTTGATTTTGAAATAGTTTACAAGAAGTTGCAACAATAGAAAAATTTTTTGTGCATCTCTCTCTTGATTCTTTTCAACCATTTAAAAATGTAAAAACAGGTGGCAGGTTGGATTTGCCCCAATGCTATAATATGCTAACCCCTGATCTAGTGGGTCAGACAGACACAGACACTGTGTACACCAGAGCCTCTGAGAGGCATCTGAAAAATGCATCAGAAGGAGTATCAGAAGGAGCAGGCACATCGGACCAGGTGCTCAGGGAAAGCCTCCCGGAGGAAATGAAGCTTAAACATCCTGCAGTGGGTTGTTAGAAGAAGAAAACTGGACTTAAAGAGAAGTTTTTGGGGAGAAAATTTTGTCATGACGGTTAGTTAGACAATGTTTTCTTCGATACACCACCAAAAGAATAAGCAATCAAGATCCGAAAAAAAAAAAACCCCAGAAAAATTGGATTTCATCAAAGTGAAATCTTTTTCTGCTTCAAAGGACACCGTTGAGAAAGTGAAGACAACCCATGGAATGGGAGAAAAATATCTGCAAGTCATATATATGATAAGAAGCTTGAATCCAAAATATATAAAGAATTCTTAAAACTCAACAATTAGAGACAAATAACCCAATTTAAAAATAGGCAAAGGAACTGAATAGGCATTTCTACTAAAAAGATATACAAGTAGCCAATCAGCACATGAAAAGATACTCAACATCATCAGCCATAGGGAAAAAGCAAAAAAAAAAAAAAGCAAATTCACATCACAAATAAATACCACTTCATGCCCACAAGGAAGGCTATAATCGGAAAGACTGAGAATGACAATTTTTGCTGAGGATTTGGAGAAATTAGGACCTATATACATTGCTGGTAGGAAACGGTGCCGCTTACTTGGGGAACGGTTGAGCAGTTCTCATAATTTTAAGCATAGAGTTGCCATATGACTCAGTAATTCCACTCTTAGGAATATACCCAACAGAAATGAAGACAGGGCCACGTAAAAACCTGCACATGCATACTTACAGAGGCATTATTCACAACAATCCAGAAGTAGGAACAACCCAAATGTCCACTGACTGGTGAATGGACAAACAGTATGTGTCATAGCCAAATGACAGAAAGGTCTTTGGCAATGAAAACCAGTGAAGAACTGATGTATTCTGTAACATGGAAGAACCTTGAGGACATTATGCCAAGTGAAAGAACACAGACCCAAAAGGCCACACAGTGCATGATTCCATTTATGTGAGATGTCCAAGGACAAATCCAAGGGGAGAGGAGATGGGGGAAGAGCCGTGACTGCCAGTGGGCATGGGGTTTCTTTCTGCACATCACATGTGCAGTGTGATAGCTGCACAGCTCTGTGGATACACTAAGACCCACTGACGTATACACTGTAAAGTTTATGTATGTGAAAGTGTATCAGTACAGTTGTTATTATACGTAATAATAAGAGGAAGTTTTAACAGTTAGCCAGATGAGAAGGTGAATTCCAGGAAACAGAATGCTCCATTTTTTCCAGAAGGTCAAGGTGGCTGGAGCCAGTGTAGGAAAGGGGTACAGAGAAGGCGGGAGAGATCTGGGGTTGGGGTTTGACCAGTAAAACCCACACAAGCCTCCCTCAAACAGTGGCAAGAGGAGGGTCTGACCTGACCCCACAGAGAGGAACATGGACTCCAAGAAAGTTGTCCCTTCCCCACTCTCCTGCTCCAGCCTGAACATCAGTTTGGCCCAGGAGACTGGCTTCCTCTCCATCATCCAAACCAAATCTCTTACCTCCTGAGATTTGATAACTTCTTTATCTACAGGGCAGATTGGCACTGAGTTTAATTTTCTGGAGAGAAAAATAAAAATAGAACCAGTTAGGTGTTTAACATCAATGGTTCTTCCAAGAGCAGCCCAGCACTCCAGCCACACTGCATCCTTGAGCAGGCCCATCCCTGTCGTTGCACATGCTGTTCCCTCTACCCAGAAGGCATCCCTGTGCCCCTCTGTCACCCCCCACCCTCCAGTCTTTCAGTCTGCTAGAGAAACTCCCATTCATCCTCCTGGATGCAGTCAAACATGGAATTCCCCAGACAGTGTTAAATGCCCCCATCCTTTGTTTATCACACCGTGACACAATCTGTCTTCTTCCTTAGACTGGGACATTCTAGAGGGCAGACATCAGGCTTTGTTCCACACTGTACCTCTGGCTCTTTACCTCCATAGACTTGAGCTCAGGTGAGCAAAGTGCCTGGAGAACACAGGTGCTGAATGTGCACACAGATGCTAAATACACACACAGATGCTGAATGCACAAACAGGTAAATGAAGGAGAAGGTGCAGGAACAAACCCTGGCAGGGTATAACTGCCTTACTGTCCCCATAGAAGCCCCCAACACCTGCTTCCATGTCTCTTCTGGTTTCGTCCCTCAAAACGGTGTGACCGGAATTGCTGTAGTTTGGATGTTGAATGTGTCCCAAAGGCCCATTCATTAAGAACGTGGTCCCCCGGGTGGTGCTGCTGGAAAGTGGTGGAACCTTCGAGAGGCTGGGCCTAGTGAGCGATCCTGAAGTCATTGGGGGGGGTGCCCATGAAAGGATGGTGGGGCCCATGCCCCTTCCTCTCCCTTTCTTGTGTTTCCTGGCTGATAAGGGGAGTGTTTTTGCTCCACCATGTGCTCCCGCCATGATATGCTGCCTCATTACAGGTCAAAACAGTGGGACCAACTGATCATGAACTGAAACTTCTAACTGAACCAAAATAAATCTCTTCCCTTTATAAGTGAATTACCTCAAGTATTTTGTTAGAGACCAAAAGCCAGCTAACAGATTTTACAGCTGCTCAAGGGTAGACAGCAGCCATGGCAACCAGGTTCCTTGTAAATGTCACAGCCCTTCTGCCCCAAGGCAAAGAACCGTCAAGCCCTTCCCAACATCCAGCTCCCCACAACAGACTATGTCTATAGGCTTACTCTCCCATGCAAGACAAGTACAGTGCGAATTTTAAGAAAAGTTGAATATCTACAAATGAGTGGCAAAAAAAAAAAAATGAAGATTACTCTTCAGGCCCTCACAGGGGGCTTCTGGGAGAGCTACTCCTATCTGTGGTTCTATGGCCAACCACAGCAATTCCCAAAACCATGATTACAGTTGAGTGGTCACAGCTGGCTCTCAGATTCCAGGAACGCCTGGGCTGGTTCTGGTCTCCTGTGGCCGAGCCACAAACCCTGCCCACTCACCTCAAGGACAGGATGCAGCCCTGGCAGAAGCGGTGCCCACAACCTGTCTGGTGGGGGTTGTGAAGCACCGAGTGGCAGAAGGCACACTTGTAGCGCTCTTCCAGTTGCTCCACAAACTGGTACTCAGTGTTGGGCTCAAAGTCCAAGGAAATGGAGTTGCCAGAATTTTGGCGGATGAAACCACAAGGGGCACTTCCTTGCTCCTCAGAAGAAGCCATTCTGGGGAGCCAGGGAAAAAGAAGGAACACGAAGTGTGAAAACACCCAAACAACTACAGCCCTCAAGTGTTTCATTGCTTGTTTCATAATTAGCGAGCCTCCCATATGGTCATTCCGTTATGACTTTTCAATAACCATTACAACTTCCTGCCACTGGAGGGCGCATTCAAAGGTGAGATGACTTTGAGGGGCTGGGGGTGGTGGTGGGGGGAAGCTGGTCCAGGTGTCTTCTAGCAAGACTCTATGAGACTTTAGCTCTTTCCCCATCAAAACATAGTCAGGTGTTGCCTACATCATAAGCAACTGTGATGGATTTTTCTTTCAAAATTGAGAGAATTAAATATTTTATTAAAATTTTTCAGAAGAAAAAGTCTTACACACTTCTTCTCATCAAGCTCAATCTCTCTCCTCTTTCCCTCTCTTCCTCTCTCTACCCACCACTGCAATTCCTTGAATATTTATGTCTCTCCAAATGCTTATGTTGAAATCCTAGCCCACAAGGTGATAGTATTAGGAGGTGTGGCCTTTGGGAGGTATTAGGCCGTGTGGGTGGAGTCCTCCTGAATGAGATTAGTGCCCTTATAAAAGAGGCCAGAAAGCTCCCTTCCCCTCTTGCTGCCATGTAATACAATAAATCTGCATCCTAGAAGAAGGCCCTCACCACAGCACATCCATGATGACACCCTGATCTCAGACTTCCAGCCTCCAAAACTGTGAGAAAAAAATTTCTGCTCTTTTTTAGCCACTTGGTCTATGTTACCTGGTTACAGACAGCAACCCAAACTAAAACAAGTACCAAACTGCATCATTTCTTCCTTAAAACTAAATAAGGAGCTTCTAACTCCTTTCGCACCCAATCCTTTCTCCATGTTACATAGCCAGGGTGATATTTTCTAAATGCTAGTAGGATTCATCTTTCATTAGCTTCCCTGAGATCTAGGAAGAAGTCTTGAATGCTAAACAGGCAACGAGCCTCTATCCTCCCCACCCAGCAGTATTCTGGACCTCTCTCACCCCTTGCTTTCTGCACTCTAGCCATACGGGCTCTGTTCATTCTTCCAATACAGCATGATCTCTCTCACCACAGAGGCTTTGCACAAGCTGTTGCTTGTCTGGAGTGTGCCCCCATCCCTTTCCAGTCTTCCTCACATAGCTATCTCACACTTATGCTTCAAACTGTCATTTTGAGTGTGATATCTCCAGGTAAGCTTGCTTTCCTCCTCCTGGTTTACCCACCAGTCTGTAAAACATGCATGTAACTTTCAGAGAGCAGCTGGGAATATGGGTGGGTGAGGGGGAAGATTTTTCATTAGATAATCCTGTTGAATTTTTAAACATGAATTTCTTACCAATTCAAAAATAAATACATATATAAAAACAAAACCCAAACATGCACTGACTCATATCACTAGGTTCCTTTCCTCCAGAGCAATATTTGGCTTGCAATAAGACATGCACTTGTGTGATGATGTGATTTATGTCTGCGTCCCTCAGAGACACACAAGACACATCTGGTCTTGCTCATCTTTGCATCGCCACCCCCAGCACGGCACCTGGTATGGAGAACTCAGCTATTTGTTGAATTAATGTTTTGGAATGGATTTTTCAGAAAAACAAAAACCCTCTACAGTGCGGCTGTATTAATGTTGACTTCTAATACAGCATGTATTAATGTAGACTTCTTCCTACCTTTGAAAATGTGGTGAAAACTCTAGACCTGTTCCCCACAAAAAGTCCGCACACCTGACCTTCTGAATATACCTGGTCCCCAGGTTAAGAGCAGCCTGCCTCCCCAGCAGGAAGGTTGTGACTCTGGGGCACAGTATTTGGCGCAAATGGTTAGTATGGAGTCTTGCAAATGGTTGCATAAGGGGATCTTCCAGGGTGGTCTCTCGGGATGCTATCCTTCCACGTGGCCAGGGTCAGAAAAGCTTGGCCTGCAGACTCCTTTGGTCTGGCTGCTTGAGATCTTCATGGCTCTCCTGCAGCTGGTGAGCTTATCTGGGCCTGGGAAGCTCTGCATGGCCTGACAGCTGGGTGAGAGATGCATGGCCTTACTTGTCCCCAGCTCTACTTAGGTCACCTTCTGGCCTCTGACCCTGTTGGACTGCTTGGAGTCTGGGATGTGGTGTGCAAGAATGGAGCAGAGGAAGCAATGGGTCTCTTTGGGCAAATAATCTTTGTCCCCAAAGGAGCCTGACAGGATGGGGATTTTTTTCCATTCCTGAGGTCTGAGACCAAAGCCCCACCCCTTCCTTTCTGCATGTGTTTCCTGCAAAACCTCAAGGGCGGTCGGGTCGGTGAGCAGTGTGAGATGTGATTGTTCCTCTTTCAATATGGCTTGCCCTTGGGATTTAACACAATTTGAATTGTGAAGGTGAAGGCACAGCATATGATGTTCACACACAACCCCAAAGACCAAGACCCACCTTTCTTTCCGAGAACTGGAAAAACCAATTTAACATTGACCTAAAATGCCCTGTAGGCTCTAGTCCCAAGGACAGCTGACACTTCACATCTTGTGACCTTATGCCATCTATGCCCCTTTGGGATTCTCTCCTGAGACCAGGCTCATGTCTGTGTCACACAGCATCTAATATGGGCTTTCAGAGATGGACCCCACGCCACAGGTTCATTCAACCCCTAGAACAAGGCAAGGGTGTGTGCAAAACTCAACTCAGTTTCCCTCCACTCCACCTGTCTCTCTGCCAGAATAAGACTGTACTGTCTTTGTCTGTATGTATGTCCATCTTTTTCTACAAGAGCAGTGCTCAAGGTTTTTGGTCGAAGGAACCCTCCCCTTTTAACATGCTATGGCTTGAATATGTGTCTCCCCAAATTCCTGTGTTGGAATCCAAGATCCAATGTGGTAGTATTAAGATGTGGAGCTTTTAAGAGGTGATTAAGCTGGGTGCATTCCTGCAATCCCAGCAGTCACACATGGGAGCCTGAGGCAGGAGGATCATGAGTTCAAGGCTAGCCTGGCTACGTAGTGAGACCTTGTCTTAAAAAGAGAAAAAAAAAAAGAGGTGATTAAGTCATAAGGGCAGAAAACTACTGCTTTTGCCCTTCTGATTTTCTAACAGCTATAAGACATCATCTTGGGATCAGAACAGCCTTCACCAGGCACAAGGAGCTTGCCGGGTGCCTTGACCTAGGACTTCCAGGCCTCCAGAACTTTGAAAAATACACTTCCGTTCTTTATAAATTACCTGATCTGAGGTGTAGTAGTGCAAACAAAGACAATACCCTTAAAAACTGAGGACTTAAAGGCCCAGGATAGTCTACACAATATTGAAGGAGAAGAACAGAGACTGACAGTACCCAAAGCAAAATCTATTATAAAGCTACAGTAATAAACACACTGGAGTACTGGCAAAGAACAGACACACCGACTCATAGAACAGAATAGAGAGCCCAGAAATAGACCCACCTAAATGCAGTTAAGTGACCTTGGACAAAGCAAAAGGCAGTATTGTACAATGGAGTGAAGTGCTTTCAAGAAATGGTGTGGGAACAACTGGATATCCACCTGCAAAAAATGAATCTAGACACAGATCTTACATCCTTCACAGAGATTAACTTAAAATGGATCACAGACATAAATGTAAAACACAAAACTATACAGCTTGGACTGTGAGTCTTTTACCTCTACCTGCTCAGTAGCTGGGATTACAGGCATACACCACCATGCTTGGCCCTGAATGTCCATATAGCTTAGGAGAAAAATCTAGAATGAACTTGGGTTTGGCAACGACTTTTTAGATATGACACCAAATGCATGATCAATGACAGAACTGATAAGCTAGACTTCCGCTCAGTTTTTCTGTGAACCTAACAATGCTCTAAAATAAAATCTTTTTTGTGTGTGAATTATATCTATTGCTTTTTAACATATTTGAGAGTAAGACTGAAGAATTTTAAAACATTCCAATGTTAATTTAACATAATAAGCCAGTTATATGTTAACATAAATAATATTTTAAAGAAAAATAACCATTTTCTCAAATTAAAAAAACCAGTAAGTAGGTTGGCACTGGTTTACGTTTTTGCACATCTCTTTAAAATCTGGCATAATAGCACACAGCTGAATTCTTAGATCTGCTCTTGCATTCAGTCTTCTGCAGCCTCACACCTCACACAGCTCCTGGAAAACACCTCCGAATTTGTGAAAGAAGAGCAAAAGTGGCAGATGATGTGTTAGTTTGAGAATAGTTGGTGTTTTGGTTTGGCAGTAACAGGGTTTGAACTCAGGGCCTTGAGCTCTCGAGGCAGGAACTCTACCACTGGAGCCACCCCCTCCTGGCCTAGACTGTGAGCCTCCTATTTGCACCATCGCACCCAGCTATTGGTCGAGACTGGGGTCTCACTAACGTTTGCCTGGACTGGCCTCAAACTTTGATCCTCCTGATCTCCACCTCCCTAGGGGTGACCCACCACCCTGGGTTGAAAATGGTTTTGACCATGCAGAGCCCCTGAAAGTTGTCAGGCATCCCCAGGGAGGGTTGTGCTAGTACATGTTTAACAGTCTGCCCTCTGGGGAAGAGTCTGCAGCATTCGCCAGCGTCTGTGGTTACATACACCCACCATGGCTGCTCTCCAGGTACTAATGCAAGAGGTCACTGAACTCCAGGTGGGAGAAGATGCACACAGGTGGCTCTTACCTGGGCACACCTGAAGTTAGAAAGCGCTCAGTAATGCTTTCCCAGTAAGAGGTGCTCTGGGCACCCTAGGGAAGCCTCGGACTCACTCTGGGAAGCACAGTTTTGTTAGCCTACTGCTGGATCTTGCCACTGTGACTCTCAGACACTGGATGCTGTGCATTCAGGGCAGGCTTGAGGACTGCAAGCCTGCTCCCTCCTCTCCCCACCCACAGTGTGTATTTCCCAGGCCTGCTGAATGCAGGGCACCTACCGACCTTGTTCACCATCTATTGTCTTATCCAACAACTGCTTTTATGAAATCGGGTTTTTAATCGCATTACACATTTTGAAAACTCATCAGTTGTGTCCAGTTGTAAGACAGGGACTTCAGATGCTGACTCTCAGAGCAGGGTCCTGCTCCTTCCTCCCAGGCTTCCTCAGGCTCTGCCCACTCTGCTCAGCCATCAGAGGACCCAACAATAGAACGACAGATGCGTCTCTCTCTAATGGATTAGACTTTTCCCGCTGGCACT